GCACAACATTTTTGAAGGACTGTCTTACCTTGTCTTGGCCAAGTTCGATAGTCACTTTCTTTTGTATACCACTTGTCCAATTTGGACAGCATACTGTCAGCAGTTGAGGAAAGGGCAATTTCTTGCCCAAATGGCTAGCTTTTTCTACAAAGAAAGCAAATTCCATATGAAGAGTCTTTGATGCCCGTCATCCTTCTATGAAGTAGATTGGTGTTGCCAGGAGCAGACATGCCTGTCATGAAAAGTCTTATGTTATTAAAACATCTTAAATGCCATATTCTGTAGGTCCCTGAAGTGTTTTAAGACCATCTGTCTATCTAAAACATATCTCTGTTTGTCCTTAAAAACATACTTAACATGGCCACAAATTTGATTGTTAGATGACTAACTACTAACCTGTATTTCTTAAAGTATCCTAAATAGTTTATAACAATAACTTAATAATAAAGGATTATATAATTTACATTACATTGTTAAATGAGCTGCATAAGTACAATACCTTAAGCAAGAGTAGAAACATATATACAATATAATGAAAATAACCTTAAGTTTGTTTTTGTTTTTGTTTTGTTTTGTTTTTTGAGGCAGAGTTTCTCTGTGTAGCTTTGGAGCCTGTCCTGGAACTAGCTCTTGTGGACCAGACTGGTCTCAAACTCATGGAGATCTACCTACCTCTGCCTCCCAAGTGCTGGGATTGAAGGCATGCTCCACCACTGCCTGGCAACCTTAAATTTATATCAATAGACAAAGTTACAATACCAATGTAAAATACTTGAGACTAATGGTTGTTTAAAAGTAGACTCAAAAAAATCTACCCTTTTATCCCATCATTTCTATACTGTAACTCCCTTTTTTTCCCTTCAGAAAGATAACTCAGAATCTAATCTCCTTTGTTTAGCTTTCTCCCTGACCATTACCAGCTACAATTTGTAACCAATCCCCCCCAAGTGATGATAAACATTCATAACCCACTGAAAGACCAAAACCATCCACTCCTCCTCATGGGAATGTGGGTGTTATTTTCCCTAGTATGTTCGCTGCTGTCCGAGGGTGCTGACAGATTAGAGGACCTGGGAAAATTGGGATAATGGTCAAGCCCTGGTAGAGCTAGCTGTAACATTTGTTGTCCAGTCTTAATGCAATGGGAAAGTGCAAGGCTTATCTATAGTACTGGCTAGAATAATTTGTGAGGCTGGAATATCTCAGCAGCCTTGGAGCTGGTTGCAGAACTCTGAGGAAACTGCAATAGAAGCACTCTGAGAGGCTGGGTCACCCTGACTACCTGTTTTCCCTGGTTTCTGGTCACTATGCTCTGAAAATACATGAACTTTCAAAGATAACATACATAGCTTCACTAACACAAATATAGACTGTGTGTTGTGCATAAGCCAGCCAAAGATGATTTTTTGTTTTATGTTTCAACAGCTAAAATATATGTCACCTCTCCTATAGTTTCTCTGGGTTTATTTCTTTATGTCTGTAGTCAGGATTTTTAGGGGGTGTCCCTGATCAAATCGGATCTCTATAAATGCTGAATGAATCCAAAGCCTTTCATTTTCTGTGGATTCAAAATCATAACCTCTTCCCTAATGCAACGTATTTTTTGACTTTCACTTTGAAGTTAAGACATTTTAAAAATAAATAGGTTGGTTTCCACAATTTAGTCTCTCAGCAGCTGACATTCCCTGTTTATTAGCATTCACCAAAAAAAAAAAAAATTCAAAATCAACAATACACTATATAGGATCCAGAGTCTGTATGTTTTCCATCTTTATGTGGATTATTTTAATATTATTTTATCTTTAAAGACTTTCTTATTATTTATAAACTATTTGTATGACTGTCTATACCCATTTTCTTTTCTTTTTTATCCTATTCACATTTTAAAAGATATTGTACCTTTTTTTGGCGGTTCTATATGCCTGGACCTGGCTTTACTAAGCATCTGCCTGAGACAAATCTTAAACTACTATGTCAGCTGCTGGTGGGGCTCAGTTTAGGGCATGGTGCTGGCAGTTGGCTCCAACCCATAGGCAGCAGCCAGCAGCTGAGTCTCTGTATGCTACAGAGCCTACCTGAGAGACCGTGGTTCCCAGGAAGTCATGTTTGGCTCTGTGTACTGAAATTTTTAAAGCGTTTTTGGGCCTTATGTGGATATATATAGCTAGATGTTGAACACCATGTGTGGATGGTTTTTTTAGGAGCCACTAACTCACAAACAAACAAAAAACAACATGGAGACTTATTATTAATTATAAAAGTTTGGTTTATAGCTTAAGCTTGACCCCTTGGCTCTTGTAACTTAAATTTAACCCATATCTTTTAATCTATGTTCTTTTACGTGGCTTGGTTACCATTACTCTGTACTGCCCATCCTGCTTCCTCGTAATCTGTTTTCCCAGAGGTCTCTCTGTCCAGAAGTCCTTGCTATACCTCCTGCCTTGCTATTGGCTATTTAGCTTTTCATTAAATCACTCACAGTGACATATCTTTACATGGTGTAACCAGGTATCTCTCAACACCCTTACCCTGAGCACTGATTATCAATCAACGGAACTCATTCTTATTGTAAAGGCCACAAGTGCTTTGCTACTTTGCTAGGGAATTTCTATATTGCTATGCCTGAAGCTTTGTTATGAGAGCTGTAACATGGAGACATTTCCCCCAAAGTTTTACTGTGCTTATATCTGTAAGTTAAATAAACCTTGAGGCCAGTTTTGACCTAGCACCTGCGTAGGCGGTGCTAACCTGAGTTTCATGCTTAACCTCCTGAAGATCATTTCCCTGTCTGCTATGAGGCTTGCAGGACCCCTGGCACTGTTATACTTTGGAGGACAGCTGTTGACAGCAATAATACAAAAATGAAGACTAAGGCTGGGTATGGTGGCACATGCCTGAACCCCGAGCATTCAGGAGGCAAAGTGTAAGTCCCTTAAGGAGCAAGATTACCCAGGCCTCTTCCTTGAGGGCCTACAACTGCCAAGCTCTGCCCACAGAACACTCCAAGGCTGTAGCAGCAGGACCCACCTATCCAGAGGCAGGCGGCCAAGCTCCGCCCTATAGAGTAAAAAGCCCAGGCTCAGGACTTGAGGATCCACCAATCCCCACCGGGGAAAGAGCCAACCCCGCCCCAAGAAACCCTATATAAACCCTATCTTCTGCCCTGTTCTCTGTTGCTTTTTTTTTTTTCCCAAGCAGAGGCATCCATCCTCCTGGGTTTTCCCCTCTCAATAAATCTCTTGTATGAGATTTGTTGTGTGGTGTGACTATGTGGTATTCCTTGGCTCCTAACTGCCAGGATATGTTTCCCTACAGAGCTGTAACACTTCCACTGAGGAAAACTTTCCCCTAGAGCAGTAATGCTTGTTCATAGCTAGCTTTTTCCCCTTTAACTTAAATTAACCCATTTCAATTAATCCATGTGCTGTCCTGAGCCTCATTTGCCTCCTCTACATACTGTCCATCCTACTTTCCTGCTTCGTCTGTGTCTGGCTGATTGGCTCCCCTTTTCTCTCTGCCAGCCAGCCCTGCCTATCCTTCCTCTGCCTAGCTATTAGCCATTCAGCTTTTTATTAGATCAATCAGGTGTCTTAGGTAGGCAAAGTAAAACAGTAATAAGTCTTTACATAGTTAAACAAATGTAACCCATCTTTACATAGTTAAATGATTATTCTGCAACACAAATACAACACATCTTTACATAGTTAAGCAAAAACAAAAATTCTATTCTACAACAGGATTCTCTGTGTAATAGCTTTGGCTGCCCTGGAACTCACTTTGTAGACCAGGCTGGCCTTGAAATCACAGAGTTCTGCCTGCCTCTGCCTCCTGAGTACTGGGATTAAAGGTATGCACCACTACGCCCAGCTTCATCTTTCCCTTCTTAAACATGCAGTCTACTGAGGAGTCATGCAGTATTAAATTTTTCTGACTGTTCTTCATTGGGATTCTTTTCATAAATATTTTAACAAGCTGAAGTTGTTCCCATCATAAAAACAAAGCAAAATACCGGCAAAAGCCAACAGAACACACAAAAAGACCCTCCTTCAACAATGTTTCTTCTCTATTACCAGGATCCCCTCCTTCTCTGAAAAGCATTGGCTGGGCTTTATTCTCACTACCTTAAACATGACTCATAAGCCTGTCATCTGCACATGCATATTTAACAGTCTTAGATGACTTTCATGTTAATAATTATAGAAGATGTCCTTCAGCCCCTGGACATAAGGTCCACCCCAGGAAAAATAGGTTAATAAAAGTGGCAATACCTAATGTGATCTTGACATTGTTCGGGGTCTCAGATATCCTAGAGATGTTGGGGGAGGAGGTCTAAAGTGAGGGGGAGGTCTGGGCATAAATGGTCCCTGCAGTGTATCTGCAGAGAGAGAGAGAGAGAGAGAGAGAGAGAGAGAGAGAGAGAGAGAGAATAACCGATGCCAAATGAGTCATAGAGTCCTTTGAAGGGAAAAAGGGAAGCCTAGTCAAGTTCTCAACTTTAAGTCTACTTCAAAATTATGTCAAGGATTTGTAAGTAAAAAAGCAAATTACTGGATCCTACCTTCAAAGATTAAAAAAAATACAATAAATAAATAAAACCAAAGATTGCTGTGAGTGTAGCTCAGTGGTAGAACACATGTGTGAGGCCTTAGTTTCTATCTCCAGCACCGCAAAAATTGGCCCAAACCAAAACCTGACAGTCTGTGGGATAAAGACTTTGCACTTTAATCAAGCCCCCATAAGACGCTGATGGTGTTGGTACAGACACCCGCCACCCTCCCCTTTAAGAACAATGGTCTGAAGCACGGAGAGGGACTCTCTCCCAGTGAGATGCTCCACCTGATGGAGGTTGAGCAGGTGAGAGAACACAGGGGATGCAGCAGGAAAGAAACCACCTCTACCGAGGACCGGGGCTCCTGGACTACATCTCCCAGGAAGCCTCGCGCTGACACGTGGGCGCCCCCTGGAGGTGGACATCAGGAAGGCGCCGGCGGGATCGCTGGGACCTTCCTGGTAGCATCCGTGAGCGCTGAAAGCTGTGGCAGCTGCGGGCTGAGGCGGCGCTGGAGTCCGGTGCGAGTGAACCACAGCGGGTGAGTCAGGGTATGGGCCGCCCGGCTTCTCTACTCCTGAGCTGCCTTGTCTCAAATCTGGCGGGCAAAGCGCGGGTGCAGAGAGTCCTGGCTCGCAGATGCGGGGTGCCCCTCTGGGAAGACGCGCTGCGGTCCTGGGTACCAGGCGGCGGGCAGCATAGGGATCGTGCTGCAGGTGGGGACCGCAGGTGGCCGGCCCTCCCTTTGGTTTTGGCGCAGCATTTTGGCACGGGGGCCAGGTGGCTCAGGCAGCTGTGGCCCTGGGAAGCCCCCCGACCCCGGGACAGGTGCGTGTGCGCCGGTGGGACTCCGGTGACCACGAGTGTGCTTCCACAGAGCCTTTGAGCCCTGATCCTGCCCAGGTGGTCGCCTAGGGCTAGGGCTGCGGGGCTCCAGGACGCCTGGGAGAGTGGGGAACTGTGTGGATGCTGGTGCGTGTCCCCGCCGTGCGCAGCCTGGCGTGAGCGCAACAGTGCTGGTCTCTTTTCCTTAATGCCCTTGGAACAAAATTAGTTTTATGTGCTTATTTTTTTGTTTTTTAACAAGTTTGATTCTGAATATCTTAGTTTGATTTTTGTGGGAGCTCCATACGCCAGCACGCAAGTTTATATAATAAGCAGTATACGCTTCGGGGGGGAAAAAAATCCCATGAAGGTGCTCTTCCTTGCCCTCTATCGGATGAATTATGTCGGACTGGTTGACATGGGTATCCATTAGTAACTGCGGTGGCTGGAGGCGAGAGATAAAGTGTTTTTGAGTGAAGTCACGACCGAACCCTTCTGATCAATTTTTGGTTTCACAAGATTTGGTTATCCAGTTTCAAACACTGTTATTTCAACAGTTAAGACGGAGATGGAGGGTGGGGCAGGGGTTCGTCAATCCTAATTCCCTAGTATAAGAAAAACAGCTTTGCATGCTTACTCAAAGCCATCAAGTTTGTTTATTGATTATTTTGAAACAGGGTCTCCCTAGCTAACTCTGACTAGTCCGGGACTCACAAGAGCCACCATAAAGTGGTTATTTTGTTTTTGTCTTCGAGACAGTGTCTCCTTAGGCATTCTGGTTGGCCTGGAATTGTTATGCAGCCCAGACTGGACTTGAACATGTCCCCTCCTTCCACCTCCTGAGCACTGGGATTCCAGGAGTGAGCCACCACATTTGTCCAAAGGGAGCATTCCTAGGGGCGACGCGGCAGCCCTTCTCAAGCCTGCTAGTTTTTAAGTGCTAGTTTTTAAGCTAATTTGTGGATGTGCCATGGGATGTTTTTGTCTTGTTTGGTTTCAGGGAAGTGTTTTTCCTGTCTTTTCTGTGAGAGAGCTCTATTATGTTAAGTCTATTTCTATTCATACCTGATTGAGTCTCCTCCTACCCCCCACCATGCTTTCATACAATATGGATTGATATGGCCATCTAAATTTCCCTCTTTAAAAAAATCTCTAACACGTTATTATTTTGCTTGATCTTCTTATTAGAATCCTGTAATACTTTAGGATGAATTTTTTGGAGCTATGTATGGTGGCTCATGCCTGTAATCCCAGCACTTCTGTCTGAGACAACAGGGTGAGTTTGAGGCTAGCCAGTGCTATATGATAAGACCCTGTATCAAAAAGTAAAGCAAAAAAAAAAAAAAAAAAAAAAAAAAACAAAAAACAAAAAAAGCAAAAAAACAAACAAAACAAAAACCAATAATAGCAGCACAACAGCAAAACAAAACAATTGAAGACAAAATAAGCAGAATCCTCTCCCCCACCAACAACAAACACCACCTCAAATGCATGTTTGGTTTGTTTGATAGATCCAAAAGCTAGCATTTTCCTTAGGGGTTGGTAAGTGCCATTGTTATGAATGATTCCTTCTGCCCAGTAATTATGCTTGTGGTGTTCACGCTGGTCCAGCTGGAAACTTCCTGTCATTTTCTGTGCTTTGGAACAGAAGAATGATCTGTTCCTTGAAGTCTGGTGGAAATTGCTTTGCATGCCACCTGGGCTGCCACTGGGAGCGTTAGGAAGCTGATGCCACCATTCAGCCACTTGTGCCCATAACCATTGATTGTCCTCGGCTGGCCTATGGCTTCAGCCATTTTCATACTCTTCATTGCCCCGGGAAATCATCAGCATTATTGATAATCAATATATGTTAGCACCTGGTACCTATTCACTTTCAAGATAAACTCATGTAATAATATATGATGTCATTATCCTTGTAAATCTCAATGCTTTGTGACCTCTCTTTTTCCTCCTGTTAGCATGTAGTAATTGCACAAAATAATGGCTTTCATACTTTTTCACACATGTATATCATGCACTTAGCATGTAGTAATTGTATAAAATAATGGCTTGCAGACATTTCCACATATGTATATCATGTACTTTTGTCAAGCCCACCTTTTCTCCTTTTTATTGGTCAGGCTTACGAATGATTTCCTCTTTTCTTGATCCTTTCAAAGAATTTTGGGTTACTGATTAATCTATTGATTTTTATCTCCCTATGTTAGTAATTTCTGTTGTTAAAATTTATGCTTTTTTTCTGCTTTATGAATTTACTGTATTCAAGCTCTGGTCCTTTTGGACTGAAATCATGATTCCTTTATTTAATCATTTGGCTCTTGTGCTGAGCAGGTCCAAGATGTCTGGTTTCAACCTGCAGCCTGAGCTGTATTTTCACCTTAACCCTTGGGTTAGGCGTTGCTGCTGCTCTGGTCTTGTAAGTTTGTGTTCATTGCATTTACCAAGGCTTACGTTATCTACCTGTCTGTCATTCTCCACATTCTCTGTGCTGTGTCCTGTCACAGACCATCTTCTTAGGATTGTTTTCCTTCTCCTTCAAGTACAAGTGAGTTTATTGGGTGTTACTTACAGGAGTGTTGGTGACCCCAAAGCAGTTGGACCATGCTAAGCTTCTCCATTAGGGATGATGGCCTCATGGATGCTGCATAATGGATCCCTGCTTTCAACGTATCTTCCACTTCAAAATCAAAAGCAGGAGGAGGGCAGGAAGGAGTAATAGTTGGGCTTCCCATTGAAGATTCATGGCCTTCCCTTCCTCCATCTTAACAGAATTTCAAGATCTCCATTAGTGTTACCTTAGACTTGGCTATCTATCCCTGTACTGTTCTACTCAGGTGTTGCCATGGCTACCAGGCCACGTTATTCTCTGTTCCAATATGGCAGGGAGGTGAACACATTGTGCATAGAAGGAAAAGGCTTACTACACATGGGTTCTACATCCATAAAATAAATAGCCATTCTACCATGATTGACGTGGGTTGTTTGTAGTTTTGGACTGTTACAAACAGTGATGATGTGGACACTCTAGTACTTGCTTTCTGTTGGATGAACACATGCATTTCTGTTGAGCACAAATGAATCTAGGAGTAGAACCACTTGGCCCAGAAACTCCCCCCGTTTTCATCTCTGATTACATTAACAGAGCCTTCCAGCACTAGTTGTACTTCTGGCCTAATACTGTCAGTATTCAATAGTGGTTGTGGCAAACAAACAAACAAACAAACAAAAAAACCATGCTCTCAGAAACACAGGTGAACATGCTTGTGTCTTTCTGAGTGTCAGAATTTACCGAAGAGCAATACATTTACATGGCATAGTACTTTCACTGGCAGTAGTGTGCTAGATTCTCACACTCCCTGATAGCCCTGGCTGAGCCAACCGGGCTCTTTATTTCCATTAAAAAAAAAAAAAAAACTTTATTTACTTGTGTGACTGTTTGTGTGAAGGTCAGAGAACAACGTGTGGGATCAGTTCTCTCCTACCATTTATGACCTTGGTATTGAACTCAGGTGGCCGGGCTTGGTGACAAATGATTTTACCCAATAAGCCATATTATCGCCAGCCCTTATCTTTTTTAAAAATCACTTTTTGTTTTATTTTATGTGTATGGATGTTTTACCTGCATATACGTTTGTATTCCATGTACATACGTGGTGCCCATGGAAGCCAGTAAAAGGTATTGGCTCCACTGGAACTGGAGCTACAGATGGTTGGTTGCAAGACACCACATGGGGGTTGGGGACGAACCTTAGTCCCCTGAAAGGGCATCCAGTGCTCTTAACTCCTGAGCTATCTCTCCAGTCCCTGTGCTAGAAGATGGCAGATGAAGTAGATCATGGCAGCAGTATGCACTGAACTGGTTCTCCTGGGACAGTAAGGAGTCCTCTGTCTGTTGGACCCTGATACACTCACTGAGTGGTCAGATGATGGGTTTGAAGGGATCTATTGCTCTCATAGTGTTGGCTATGGTAGTGAGGCTGAGGTAGGGGCATTGCTTAAGACCAGGAATTCAAGGCCAGTATGAACCACATAGATTTTTTGACCCCCAAATTCAAAGCAACAGCAACAAAAAACCAAAACAACAAAATTCCAAAAACACATGCAGATACACAACCAGACAAAACAAAAAACCCAACAGTATGTGTGGGGATGTAGCTCAGTGGCAGAGCACTGTCTCGCATGTAGGAAATCCTGGGTTCCATCCCTGGTATAGTAAATAAACCCCAAGCAACCCCCAAAGCAAAATGTGGTGATTCTTAGTGTCTGTGGTCTCATCTTTGAGATTGTTTTTTACCCCATGTGATGAGAAGCTACAAATTTGTTAATGAAGCAATTTAGGTTTTAAACCATGCTGAGACCCTCTTTGAAATACTACGAAGGGGTCCTGGCTTTCAGGTTGTTATATTGTTAACAGTAGTGTTTATACATCATTGCTTTGCTTCTTAAGGCTTCTTTTCTCTTTACACATTTGTTTGTGACTTGACCAGTTCTGTCACACACACACACACACACACACACACACACACACACACACACACGCACATGCACATATGCATGCACGCACACCCCACCCAGTGTCATTAGCATCTTCCTTCTGCTCATTTTCTTGTATGTTTAAGAAAAAAAAAAAAAAGCTTTTCCTTGAACTTTGGGTTTCTCAGCAGCTGCTAACTGCTTGCTGAGATAAATTTTCTTGACTTCCCCTAAAACTAG